CATCGAGCGCGCTCGACCTCCCCAGAACCAAACGGAATTGCGGTCATTCTTAGGAATGTGCAACGTGTACCGTCGGTTCGTGAAGGGCTTCGCGAAAATAGCCGCTCCGCTAAACCGGAAGACGGGGAAAAATCAACCCTTCGAGTTTGAGGTTCTTACCGATGAGGAATACGAGGCGTTCGTGGAACTAAAGAAGCGCCTCGTGTCCCCACCGATCCTCGCTCTACCCCGTTACGGAAAAAAATACACCCTGGATACGGACGCTTGCGCGTACCAGGTCGGCTGTGCCCTATTACAGGAGCAGCCGAGCGGTGACCGCTTACCGATCGGTTATTGGAGCCGCGCCCTCACGGACGCGGAGAAGAACTACACCACTACCGAGAAGGAATGCCTTGCTGTCGTGTGGAGCATCCTCACGCTTCGACCATATCTATATGGGAACACGTTTGACCTCCGTACGGATCATGAGGCTCTCCGATGGGTCCTCAACCTGGCGGATAGCTCTGGCCGGCTAGCGCGCTGGCGTCTCCGCCTAGCCGAGTACGACTACGAGGTAAAGTACCGGCCGGGTATTAAGCACCAACTCGCGGATGGTGTATCACGCCTCCGAGTTGACGGCGCAACCTCCGAACCGGTTGACGACGAGGTCCCGTGTTTCGCGGTACAATGGCGAGAGGAGGAGCAAAACCCCCGCCAAGGTACCGTACACTGGGAGACCCCCGTCGACCCGGGGAGAGCTGAGCACGCGTTCACGGTTATACCCGAAGAACGCGACGTCTCATCCGTAACGGTGGAAGAGTTCCTTCGGGAACAGGCCGAGGACCCCTTCTGTACGGCGGCCGCCGAGACTGTGGGGAACCCGGACTCGCGGTACGACGTTGAACGATACGGGTTCGTCGTCCGCAAGTCCCCCCTCGATGGGACCCTGCAGCGGGTTGTACCGAAGCGGCTCCGGGCGAAGATATTGTACCTCGCCCATCATCCCCGCCTAGCCGGACACCCGGGCGGTACGAGGATGTACTATACCCTCCGGCGGGAATATTATTGGCCTCATATGGCCAATGACGCCTTCAGTACCGTACGGAATTGCGCGTCATGCGCTGCCCCCCGGGGAACCCTGGTGAGGCACCAGAAGGATCTCAAGCTGTTCCCAGCGGCAGGACCGCTGGATTTCGTCGCCATGGACCTGCTGGGTCCTTTACCGAAGACGGCGCACGGGAATCGCCACGTGCTCGTCATGACCGACCGGTTTACGAAGCTGACGCGCAGTATCCCGTTACGGACAACCACCGCGTCGGTCGTGGCAAACGCCTTCCTGGACAATTGGGTCTACGTATACGGCGCACCTCGTTACATGCTGACCGATAACGGACCACAATTTGCCGCCAAGTTCTTCGACGCGGTGTGCGCCTTGCTGGGGGTGAGGCACTACCTGACTACCGCCTATCACCCCCAGACAAATGGGCAAACCGAACGGTTCAACCGTACTCTGGTACAGCGCCTCCGACATTATGTCGCGGAGCATCAGAGGGACTGGGACGAATACATCCAGCCCCTGACTTTCGCGTATAACACGCAGGTCCACCGGTCGACGGAGACAACCCCGTTCGACCTGGTGCTGACGCGACCACCGTCCGGTCTGGCCCTACCTGGTACTGTACCGCAGGATGCCGTCTCCAACACGGAAGATCCGAGGACCCCGGTACAGTACAAGCGCGCGACGCTGCGTAAACTCCGCGACGCCCTTGAGCGCACGCGGGTGAAACTAACCGCGGCGCAAAGGCGATACAAGGCCGACTTCGATAAGAAGGTGCGTTTCCGTTCGGTCATCCAGGTGGGAGACCTGGTCTATGTCGACCGCCCACCTCGGCCATTGACGAGTACCGAACGGGGAGACCTGCCAAGTAATGACGGGGGACCCTCCGTCAAGCTGTTACCGAAAACGGAAGGCCCGTTTCGGGTCCGATCCGCTACGGAGACCACAGTGGTCGTCGATCAAGACGGGGTCTCAAACCGCGTGAGCATCGATCGGATAACCCGGATGCCGCGGGGACCCCGCGACGTCACTACGGCCGCCCCGACCCAGCCCGCGGCGGCGGGAGAACCCGAACCGGTCGTGGAGTAGGTGGTTGACCATGTGGTCGACCACCGGGAGAACCGCACAGGGGCCCAGTACAAGGTCCGCTGGTATGGCTACGCCCCAGCGGACGATACCTGGGAACTCGCGGAAGGACTCCCTCAGGCCTTCATAGACCGCTTCTGGCGCACGCCGGCAGCAGCACGCCACCGCTAACACCGCACTGGGCAACCCAGCGCGGGGCGGGACGATCCCGCGGAGGACCTCCCCCGCGGGGCGGCCAATCGCCACAGACGCACGCGGAACCCCGCGTGCGTCACCGCAAACCCCGCGCCGGAACACCCGGCGCAGAAGGGGGCCAGGTCGCCACAGACGCACGCGGAACCCCGCGTGGGTCGCCGCCCACCCCGCGCCGGAAAACCCGGCGCAGGAGGGGGCGAGGTCGCCACCGACGCACGCGGAACCCCGCGTGCGTCACGGCAAACCCCGCGCCGGAAGACCCGGCGCAGGAGGCGGCCAATCGCCACGGACGCACGCGAAACCCCGCGCGCGTCACCGCAAACCCCGCGCGCGTCACCGCAAACCCCGCGCCGGAGGACCCGGCGCAGGAGCGGGCGAGGTCGCCCCCGACGCACGCGGAACCCTGCCTGCGCCACCCCAAACCCCGCACCGGAATACCCGGGGCGGATAGGGGGCGACTCCGCCGAGGGTCTCCTCCAGGCGGCCACCACCCGTTTACGGCGCATGCGGATCCCCTGCGTGCCACCGTCCGAGCCGTACCGGATGGACCGGCGCGGGGGGGAAGCTGACCTGCCGGCAGGACGACCTGACGCGGCGGTGGTCAAACGGCTTGGCGCCCCGGTGCATACCCGCCGCCGAGAGACGGAACCCAGCCGCATAAATACTGTATGGGCACGACCTCGCCGGGGCTCCAGGGCACTGTGGACCACGAGTTGCGCGAGCGGCATACACCGCCCGGCACGTGTGGCCGCTAGACCACGGCGGCGGTTCAAGACGCCTCCGATCCTCGGGGGGTACCCAATCGGAGCTCGTCAAACCGCCGAGAAACCACCCGCCGCAAGGAAAAAGCAGGCGGAAATTACCAAGGAAAAGGCCGGTTCCGCCCCAAGCCGGTAATGGGGACGCGCACCGGGTGTTGCGGGGGGAACGGGAACTCGCCCCCGCAATGACCCGTCACGACGATAGTGCGGTCGCCCGCCCGTCGGGCCGCGGTACGCGTCAACCCGACATGGAAGCGCGGAGGGAAACCCGCAGCGGTACCCCCGACCAGGCGGTCGGGAAGATCTCACCCCGACGGGCGACCCCGGGGGTAGGCCACAGGCCGCACCCGTCGCGGTAACCCGCCACCGCAAGAGCGCGTGGGCAACCGCGCGCTACCGCTGCCCCGCGCCGGATTAACCCGGCGTGGAGGGCCCTGGACGGCAAGGAGGCGACTCCGGTCGCCGGCTTTTAATTAAGCCCAAAAGGGGGCTACGTTTTTCCTCCTAGAAGGATGGGAAAAAATCGTAGGCCCTTCCCGTTAACGGCATTGTACTCCCCGGGTCTGCCCGCGTCCGGAGTTCGAAAGACGGAAAACCGACTTCGGGAAGGCCCAGGCGGATTTGGAAACCGGAACTGTAAAACGGTGTTTCTGCTCGTTTTTTACAGTTATCTTTCGTTTCCAAATCGCGCCTCCGCGGAAAGTGACAACGGCAGGACTTACCGACCGGTTTTGGACGAACAGCAGAGCGTACCGCCGCTGGGAGCTCCCCACTGACTGCACGGACAGGCTGGCGGTCACACACCCCGCTGTCTCGCCGGTGAAAGGGCGCCGTTTTTGGAAAAACGGCCAGCCCTCTGGGGGGATGGGGGAAAATCGCTTCTTTGGCGCCGGTTTGATGATGCCCGGCGCCGGGGGAAGACGCCCCACCGCAACGGCAAGCCTATCCGGACGGTTGAAGGTCCAGCGGGTCCGTCCGCTGTACCTGTAAACCCGAGTTCCCGCTCGGTTCTTCAAGGGAACACTGTACGGGAAGAAGGGCTACGATTTCCCCTCTAGAAGGGCGAATAAAAATCGTAGCCCATATCCGAGAACGGTTCCAGACTCCTGAGGTCGTCGCCGACCTGGGAGTATTTGGAAACAGAAACGTGTTTATGCGGTTTCTGACTGTTTTTTACAGTTTCTATTGGTTTCTAAAGAGGAACCGTTCGGGAAAGGGACTACCGTGGGGTTTTTGCTCGTTTTTTCGACGACAGAGGTACCGCACGCCCGGGGAAAGGTCTGGGACGTACCGCTGCGGGGCTGGCGGGGGCGTACCCGTGGGGTTTTGGAGGAAATCGAAGGGGAATTCTTGGAAAAATGGCCAGCCCTCCGGGGGGGTCCTGGAAAAACGCTTCTTTGCGCCGGTTGTTCGATGACCCGGCGCAGGCTGAAGCCGCCCAATCCGAACGGTGGCGTACCGCCGATGGAACCGCGATCCAGCGCTGAACTCCTCCGCGCGGGTCGGGTGATGACCGCCGCTGCGGGTGTGCATGCGGGTTTGAGTACTCGAGGAAGGTGACTACTGTACGGCCGCGTCTCCGCGGCCGACGCATGGTCTCCGTTCGGGATAGGAGACCGTCACAGCTGGCAGGGATTTTAACCCGCCGCGACGGGGACGTGTCGCGAAGTAAGGAAGGGGGTCTGTAGTACAACGGCGCAAAGGCAACGGCGCCACCGCTGCCGCCCCGGGATACAGTACCATGGGCTGTAAGCGTGAGAAGAACTGTAAGGAGTTATATTTACAGCACACGGCCGGTGCGGAGTACAGTAGTACCCCGCTGGTTACACGTGTAGGATCCGAACGGTAAGTAATTAGTAATTAGTAGTTAATGGCGCAAATTAGCCAATTTAGCACAGTAGCTGGTATACAGTAAGTAACAGCTACTGTAGCGGGACAGGTGTCCTAGCGTCCCACTTAGGGGTTAAGACCGGGGGCACCTGCCCCGTTCCAGTAAACGGGAGGCAGACTCGCCTCCCTTCCCTTTACGGCTTTTTTCTAACTCCGTCCGGTTTTACCTCTAAGTCTCAGGCTTCTAACCCGTGACCGGCCGTCCGGATCTAACACCACCGACCGGCTGGGCGTCACCGGCCACGTGAGCCTTCCCTCTTTTCGAGTCCTTCCGTACGGTTTGCGCTCGCGTGGGTTACCCAGCGGCGCGCGCTCCCTTACCTCTAACCCCCCTCGTTCCGAGTGGTCGGGACGAAGGTAGTTATACCACAGCACTGTTGGCAGCGTGACCGGGGGCGGATGCTGCGTCGTACACGTACACGCGCTCAATGCGTCCGTCCCGACGCGTGCACATCGTTGCGTCTACTTCGCAACGCGCTCTTCACCTCCGTCCCGCTCGATAAACGAGAACCCCTTTCACGCCTCCCCCTTCACACCTCCCCCGTCAAACCTCCCTGCGCCTACCCAATCCTGTGGAACTGCTGCATCGGCACACGGAGCCCGCGCGGGCGGCCGCGGCGACGATTTCGAGCACGGAGGCGAGCAGGTAGGCAGCGACATCGCGCGCGCACAGCGGCAGCGTCGGCGGCCCAGGCGGCAGCTCCGAGCGGATCCACTGCGGCACGATGACGTGTGGGGGCCAGGGCGCACGGCTGGGTGCAGCGGCGCCACGAGCGCACGCTGTCCATGGTGAGGATCTCGGCCTCTGCCGTCCGCCGCCATGCTGCGCAGCTCGCCGCGCGTGCCAACCGAGGCGCGGTAGGACATCGACGCGGGAGGACATCGTCGCGGGAGGCTTTGCGGGACGGAAGCGGCGGAGGGTGGGGAGGCGCGCGAGGCGCGACAGAAATGTGTTCGAGGGCTGCGGGCGCGGCCGCGGTTGCTGTAGTGGCCACGTTGGCCGCTTTGTTGGGCGCTGCGGCGTGGCGCTGGACGCGCGCCGTCCGCGGACGCGGCGAGCGCAGGCGTCGCTACAACGTGTTCGCCTACGTCAGCAGGGTGGCTACGCCCATGCGCACGGTAGTGGCTGCGCCCGTGCGCGCTGAGGAGGTGGTGCGGGACGGCGCCACCATAGGCATAAGCGTGCGCAGGGACTGGCCCGCCGTCTGGTGCGGCGCGCACGGGGAGGTGGGCATGGCGGACTAGGCGAGGAAGAGATTGGGTAGGCGCAGGGAGGTGTGAAGGGGGAGGCGTGAAGGGTGAGGCGTGAAAGGGGTTCTCGTTTATCGAGCGGGACGGAGGTGAAGAGCGCGTTGCGAAGTAGACGCAACGATGTGCACGCGTCGGGACGGACGCATTGCGCGCGTGTACGTGTACGACGCAGCACCCGCCCCCGGCCACGCTGCCAACAGTGCCAGTAACTGCGTGTAAACTCGCTCACTCCATATCGCACTTACAGCGCGGGATCACTGTGGCCGCCGGCGTCCCGGTCGCTTACTCACGCATCGGCAACCCCCCTGCGCGCAAACTGGCCTGTATTAGACTTAAATAATAATAACGCGATAATAATGAAAATTATAAATCATGAAGTGACAACAATGGCCTTTGCCCCGGCGCATGATTGACTGGTGCCGGGACCGGCCCGGCCGGTCCGGCCCAGGTTGCTATCATTGGTCCTGATGTGGTCCTGAACACACCACAATGACCCAAATGGACAGCAACGGGCTCAAAGCCAAACTCAACGCTTTTATGAGGCCTTTTCGCAGTCTTTCACGCACCACAATGGATTTCACCCTAAACTATTTCATCTTTGGACCACACGTTACTTGTTGGGGCTGCGGCGCATCTACGAACGTCCCCTTCCTTGCCTACACTGACGATTTCCTCCAGAGCCTTCCTGCTCTCTCCACAGCCTGCAGCCGCTCCCGTAAATCCCATCTACCCCACCTTGACCGTGTTCTTTTGCGCAAGTATCCCTTCACTTCACGGTACACGATTGACAAAGACGAGTCAATACAGTGAGCTCTCGTCTCTGCAAGTAAACACACCCAGACTTTCACATCAAAACCTCCTAGATTCTTTCCAAGTCACTCGCACACCTCGCTTTCTTTGCCAATA